AGTTCTATAGTTATCTCATTACGTCTGCGCTAAATAAACGTGGAAGAGGGCGGGGAGGAGGGGGGCGTACAACGGAAGAAACAGCGTAAATCGACGCGATTTTATAGAATGACCTAATTAAGTTCCGAATGAAACCGAGCCGATCGTGGCACTTCGTTGTTACAGTAACGTTAGAAATAGTACGAATTATAGGTATGCCGAATGTACCGATGTGATTTCATTACCGCGCGGAATGGCAGAACTGCGCTGGAACACTCGGCGGGACGAAATGTCAGGTCTTCGGCGTTGATTTGATACAAGCCGGCTGTGGTCGATCATAATTTGACATTGCTTGCGCTATCGCGCAGAAATGGATCTCTCGACGTTGCCTGCACGCCAGTAACGTCGCACGTATGGGTCATGGTGGCCTGGAAAGCCTAACGAGACAGTATGCCACGTGGGAGGCGACGCGATGAAAATCAATTCTTTCATTTTACCAGGAATCCCTCCGACCAGTGATGCAACATCTCCCTTCTGCCGACTTTATGTTGCTGCTTTGGCGTACATTGTTTTACGACTTGGCCGCACGAGAAGAAAAACCGTAGACCAAGGTGAAAGATAACTAAGAGCAAAAGTGTCGCCAAATCTGTGACACCGGTATTCCGTCCTCCTTAGTTGAAATATCTTATCAGCAGATCCGCCATTTCTCAAAATATTTTTAAACATTTGGAACATCGCGTGCCTTTTAGCTTGTCAGCCAGCTAGGATATTCTATGTACTTCATAGAGCTCCAAATAAAATTCCATTCATTTGTTTTCATTGATTTGTGTGATTTTGGTAATTCGAAGCTTAACTTTTCGGACGATCAGAAATATTAGTTAGAACGATTTAGCTGAAGAGGGCAGCGTAATTTACGACACAACCGATCGGCGTAACGCATGCAAATGTGGCGAACAGACACCCAGGTGAAATTGTGTAAATATTGGCTGACGTGGAAATGTAATTACTGTACTGCGGATTTTTGTTCGGAGCGATAATTGTTCGCATCGGTTGCAAGCAACAGCGGTTTAAACTTTCATTACTTTGACGAGCTAACGATAATGCGTTGATCTACTTAAATTCTTTTCTGCCTTGCCACCGTTTTAAATTGTTTTCTATCTTTCCACTGTTTTTCCTTTTTTTTTTAAACTGTACGTGTTCGGTGTCGTCGTAAACGTGTCCGTTGTTTATCGATTAAATACGGCCAGCAGCATTAGGCTGCCGGAAAGGAAAGAAAAGTACGATGTTTGTATAGATTCGAATTTTGTATCGATTTTATTACCGATTAGTTTGTTAATATTTAGGATTATACGATCGTAATTGTAACGTTACAATCTTGACGATCGATGGCGCCAGTATTGATAAGGAGATTGATATCGAGCATACGTGATCGATATCGAGAATATTGTGAAACGACGGTTCAAGCAGCTTCTAATCGAAGCAAACAAAGCGTGATTTTTAAATTCTTGTTTCTTGTAGAATTGAAAGAGCTAATATCTTTATTAGATAAACAAGTATGAACGTAACTGCGATTCAGCACTGTATTAATACTGTGGATAATATGAAGAATTGACCATCGTTTTATTATTTTGCATTGTTATCGATAAACAAAATATTCCAAAAGAGTACCGATTTTTATGCAAAAGAAAAATTGTGTGCAAGGTAGACGTAAACATTTCGTCCTATCTAATTGTCTCATTGAGTTCGAAATAATACAACAGTATTTTCAAATTCTTTAAATGAGTGTACAAGAAAAACCAATTTCGTTTCATCGCTATAATAATATAGCATAGTTTTACTCTAGCATGAACAGTATTCAATCGACAGAAAGCTAAATACAAATATTATACTTCAGAGGACAAAGGAGGAACGTTTGAAGTGAAGAAAGAAAAATGAAGTTCTCCTTCAAAAATCTAAATGATTGCGTAACGGTGCTTTAAAAAACTTACGGCCACGGTGTAACATAATCAATACAAGGAAATTCAGAATGTTTTCCGCGGTTATCTCGTATAAATTTCGAGCGAAACAAGTTCTCTGCGGCTTACGTAAAATAGTCTAAACAGCGAGCAGCGCTGTAGGTACATACATACATACATACATACATACGTACGTACGTACATAATAATGTATCTAATGAAAGAGAGACATCGCTGCTTATACGATTCTCAAAGGTAGCTTCTTCATTCACACTCGAATGTCGCGGTTATCTTCGACGTGCCATCTGTATTCACGCGTAAGTAAAATAAACACACAAAAACTATCCACTCGACAAGCTACCAAAATAACACCGCGAAGAGAACAGAAATTTTGTTAGCATCGACTGTTCCGTTCGCCAAATGCGTACAGAAAATGATCCGCCGTTGAAAACGGATAACATAATTCCGAATGAATTCGAGTGAAATCGAAATAATAAAACAAGTTTTCGGTGAGAGTTTTCAATGGAAACGGAAAAATAGAGGTGCGGCTTTCGGTATGAAATGAATATAACCATGCGCGGTGCATATTTCGTTAATTACATAACGCACGTGGAATGAACGGAATCGAACACACCTGTTCCACTAAACGCACTTCTATTTCCTATAATACCGTGACACAGTGATTAATGGCACGCAGCATCAATCCGCACGCCAACGACAGAATATCGGGAAGAACGAAACGAACGGGTCGGCCGAGGTTATTAAGTTTAATTACGAATCACACAGAAAGTTTAAAAGCGAGTTGCATGCTGTCTGTAACGGGTAACGAGCGGATCCAATCGCTTTATTGCTTGTTAATCATGCGTTCTTCCATTAAAACACATCGGCAACTTGCCGAAGCAACGGTACAATAATTGTTCTTGGCCATAAACTCACGACTCTGCGAATTAATGGCTTGTTAAAGCAACGCGACACGCGTCTGCAGAAATTCTGTTCTCGTTCTAGATACGCGTATGCAACATTGTCGGAAGATTGTTAATTAAGAATCCATAACAGGATTAACGCAGGGAATACTCCAGACATGGTTGATTAAAAACCTATAACAAGATTAAAACAACCGGTAAAGCACTCGGGGAATGCTCGAACGTGAAAACAGAAGGTGCAGCGCACATGCGAGTGTTGCTGTTGCGTTTGCCTCGTGCAAAAATACGAAATATCCTGCGTGCACGATTGTCTATATTTCCTTTGTCCGCAGCTATTATCCGCAAATATTATTCCTTAACCCATTTACAGCAGAAACGGATGTGTCCGTCCACTTCGTCTGGCTACCATCACGGAAGCGGATATAAGTATGTATACGCAAGAATCATGATCGACAATGTAAACTTGAAGCTACACCTGCTCCGAGGAAGCAAGCATAAGTTCCTTGTCTGCTTGAAAACAAGAATCCGAAATTTCGATATACGGGAAACGTGTGCTCCGCGCGATTCGGTATAGTCGATCCTATCGTCGTCGTAGAGAACTCTTGCTCGACAATGTGAAAATTCGAAATTACATCCGTTAAAAAAAGAAGCAAGCATAAAGCGTAAACGAGGAGAGCAGCGATCCAAAATTTCGATACGTTCGAAATCTTGTCTTATCTCGCTCGAGAATAATCGATCCGTGACGATCGTTCCGGAGAAAAAAATCGAAAGTTCCTCGAAGAGGAAAAAGTCAACAAACGCGCTAACATTTTCCCGGCGGTCTTAACGACGCAAAAGTAGCGCCACGTCGGGCTCTTGCGACGCGCTTTTGCGACACTAATTTCCAACGCACTTGACCACGGTTCCCTGACAAAAGGCGGCGTCGTCGGCGATGCTGTTAATTAGGATAATTGTGGCCCGGCGATGAGTCGCCTCCGATAAGGGGAACAACAGTGAAAAGTGGTGAACTTTTCGAAGTGACGTATCGAGGTCGCTTATTCGCATGACTAAGATCTCCAAGAATGCGCGAGATCTCCCGTGGCTGGTTAGAGCGCTCTAGAACGCCGAAGATCAAGAGAGCAGAGACGGTTTAAACTGTGTGTGCCCCGTCCCAGCGTGACTCTATTAATACCCGCGCCTCGTCGTCGCGCCTTAAAAACGCTCGCATCGTTGCGGAGACGTAGACGAGCGAGGAGGAAGTTTGATTCTTTCAAAAAATCCTCCTGCATCGATCGTCGTCCGATCGATCGGCCGACGCGTCGATCCGACGAAACCGTCGTACACCGATTAAGAACAACGAATTACAAAAAACAAAAACAAACGAAAAAAAAAAAGAAACGCACCGTGTTCAATGTGCCGAAGGAATGAAATCCCGAACGTGGCGCAGCAAACGAAACAATCCAAAGCACGGTAAAACCATCGTCTGGCCGCGTTTCAATTAGACGTGCCGCAAAGGCCCTGAAATACGCGTGTCGTTTCGATAAAAAGGCGGTGGGTGTCTGTCGGTGTCCGCGAACACCATAAACGGGAAACGTTAAAAACAACCGGTGCAGCTACGGGACGAGTTGTTTCGACAGGACGTGCAACGCAAACGTCGCAGACGTTCGTTCACAGTCGATTATGCGGCCTAACTACAGACATTCGCTTGGCTAACCTATTAGGACCGAGTTAACCAGTGTGTGCCCGGGGTATCGCCGTGAATTCACGGCCAGTCCCGGTTATCATAAACAGAAGAAGGAAGCGGCGGAAACTGTTGCAGTGTTCCAACGGAGCAGCCCACAGATGTCGTGTGAGGTCTCAAACCCGAGCGAGAGCCAGGCGCAAACACACAGCCTTAACACACAGTCGTCGGTTCTCGCGAAAATTCGTTCCGCGTAACCGTGGCATGTACACACTTTTGCGGCGTAACCGCGAAGATGACCAGCCGCAACGTAATCCGCAACGTCCCGGCACAACAACACCCAGGAGCGAGGCGACAAGACGGGTCCTCTGGTCGGTAAACAGAAAACTGCAGAATTGACTTTCCACCGGCGCGAGTACACCCTAGGGCCTAGGGCCTGCACAGGCGAAAGCCATTTTCCCCCACAAGAAAAGACCCACTCACCTTCGGTGTTTGTCCAAACCGTTGCAACAAATGTTACGGGTAAAAAGAGAGTCTTCGTCGCGCACAGAACGAGCCGGAGCAGCGGGTGCTACGGACCGGGAAGAAGGGGTAGGTCGAGAGGTACACACACACGCGCACACACACACACAGTGTGTCAAGAAGTTTGCTCGTTCTACGCGAGCACCGTTCTACACCCTGTCTGCCCCCCGTGAGAAACCGTGAGAGCACCGAGCGCGAACAGTCGCCGAGAAGGAAACGTGGAAACGCGAACGCGAACGCGAAGCGAGCGGACAATCGAGCAAGCGAGCAAGCGGGGTCACTCTGCGAGGGGCACGACGCGTGCTGGGGCTCCCTCGACCGAGTCGCGACTGATATCATTTCCAGCGGGGGACTGTGGGGTCGGCAGCCAGAACCCCACCAGGGGGTCTTCGTGCAACCCCCACGCGGTGTCGTAGTAGTCGTGTTCGCCGTCGTGGTTGTGGCTCGTTGTCGTCGTGGCTCCACCGTTGCTGGTCTCTCGAAACCCCCTTCGCACGTACAGGGAATAAGGGACCAGGATGTGTACGCGTATCATGGGGAGAGGCTTCTCTCTGCCACTCTCTCTCGCTCTCTCTTTTTCCGTCTCTGTCCAACCGGCGTGCCACCGATCCTACCTATGTCTTTCGCTCTCGTTCCCTTGCATCTTCGCCGGCCGTCTCCCTTCCACGCACGCTTTCCACGCAATCCGTCTCTCTCCGTTCCTCGCCGAACTTCTCGCTCTCTCTTTCTCTCTCCGCCTGAATCCCCGTCCTTGTTTCGCTCGCCGCGCTATATATCGAAACGTCTGTCCCTCTTTCGTGTTGGTCACATTCTAGCTTCAGCGCGGAGACCGTGCGTATACACGGTAAACACACACTAAGAGTACGGCGCGCCCGCGCGCCAACACTGTTCTAGCTCCCTCCTTCCCTCCGTTCGTCGGCACCCTCCCTAGCCACGAACCCCTTACCACCGGCGTACCCAGCAGCTTTATCCACCCTGAACCCTCCCGTTTACGAGGGGTTGCTTCTCGGTAGCCTGATCGGACGTTTGCGAGAAGAAGGGACCTTCCCTTCTGCCCCTCCGCGCCACAGCCCAACGCGCCGAGCTTTTTTTACGTATTTCAGAGATTCGGGATTGTTTTATTCCCCGGGAAAATTTTTGGTCGTCGTCGCTCCATCTGGGAGCGTGGAGGTTTCGCAGCCTCGGCTGCTGCTTTGGGTCGCCTTGCAGGCGAGTCGCAGATGGGGGCGAACCGATCGGCCTTCGTTCGATGAGAATTATGCTTGGAATTTTTGGGAATGTTTGCAGTCGTCTTTGTTGCCTCTTCGAGACTATTTTCAGTAAGCTTTCTTGGCGGTGGAACTGTCGCCGCGAAGGAGTCTATCGAACGTATATGCACACAGTTAGAGAACTTGTATCCTCTCTGCACCTGTTACGCACGTTCGTTTGCTTTATCCTCGACTATAAAGCGGCGAACGCTTTTATTTGCGTTTGTGACTTGAGCAGAATAACGCTGGCGAATGTGAATCGAAAAAGCATAATGCGAGCGTGCAAGCAAAGCCCAATTTTCGAGTGGAAAGCACGGAAAATTCCTGGCCGCCGAGTATCGCTTTCAGCGACGCCGGAGGGGGCAATATTACCGGCGCATTGTTCACTTCGAAAAGTGAACTCGTATAAGAGACCTTGGAACATGAAACTACTCGTCGAGGAGTGTCGCAATACGATGAGCACAGACTGCAACGGCTACTGACGTAATCATCACATGGGTACGTGTATATTTATGTCTGTGCTCCTCGGTGTAGATACACGTGTGCACATGAATCGTAGTACATCGTACTCGAATTGCTGCAGCCGACTACTACAAATATCTGCTGTAGGCCACAGGATTCGTCGGAAATAATCATTTTCTGCGATCTTGGAGCCGCGTTCAGTTCCAGCTGGTACTCGAAACGGAACGCGAACGGAATAATTCTGTTAATGAATCAGCGATCTGGTTTTCCGTTCGTGAAAATTTCCAGACTCGTTGGAACGACGTGGGAAGCGGTTCTTCTTACAATAAATTGATTGTTCGCGTCTGAGGTGACCGTCCGACGATTCGGGGGCAGTGAGCGAATATCGATTCGTTATTTTTAGGGGCAGTCTATCCATGGACCCCACCTTCGCCGCTGGCGAGATCGAAAATTTGTCTCTAATGAGATACTGTTCTGTATAATTTTCACGCGTCCGGTTCAAAGTCGAACGACGAACAAAGTCTTATCTATGGGGACATATGGAAAACAGTAGAAATTTTATTAAGTTTCGTTACAAGCTCCAAAATACATGTTTCAAGTGTAAAATGCTTTTGAAATATTCGGATTCTCGCTTAAAAATTAATCATATACAATATTTCACCGAGCAGCGGATTATGTATAATTTTTAGATTCATGATTATGCTGTTAATAGCGTAAGTATTAATTACAATGATCAGAAAAACTTCATTACATATTGAACCTTGATTGGACAACAAAAGAATAATTGTTGCATTTTCAAAACTAATCCTTCAGCATACAAGAATATAAATTAAAATGATTTCTTATGTCGTAATTAAAGCAACATCTAGTCGTAAAATGCTGCCGTCCTTCTTAGCGTCTAGAAAAATTACGATCATGATATCGATAAAAATAGCTAACTACGATAATAATGATTATGATGACAATAATGATAGAAATATCACTTAACGTTATTTTACGCTCATCATCTTTTTCTTGTATCCATTCAATGATTAAAAAATGATATGTAAATAACTCTGACGTTAGAATAAATTACCATGTCAGTGTCCCAATACATTTACATACAAAGAATGCAATTTTTAAATTAAATTTTCGGTTGTCATTACGTAAAATAGTAGAAATAAAATTCTCAGAACGTTATGTCAAGACCATGTGTACAAATTATTTGAATATTTAACATTTTCTAAGATTTGAATGTGCGACGAATCGGAGTTGCAAAAATGTTTCAATAATTCGTTATTAAATCCGCAATCGCTGAGATTTTCTTTACCGAAAATATTTTGTGGTACATTTGGCATTTTGTCCGATTCTGATTGTTCTACAAGAACATAAAATTGGTATGTAGTTACTACCACAGATTTTCAATTCGATATTCTATTATACAAAATTTACCGGAACCATGTTTCGCTGCCGAAAATGCAACTGTTGAATCTAGCTGCGCGCAGCTTACAGAATATTGGTCCAGCTGGCTAGATTTCATTAAAGAACAAAGAGAAGGTAACACATGTGGTAACAGTGGTCCCTTTAGCTCCAAAGAAAAATATCTTTCATTATCAACGCGTACCGTGCTTTCTTTCACCTTTAAAAATTGGAAATAATATGCATAAAATATAGTAGAACATTTAATATGAAGATAATATACCTTAATCGATCTCAGTGAGGCACCATGGAAGGCTACGGGGGCTAAAAGTGTTGGAGGCACTCCTGCTAAGGAGCCAGTGGTAGTAATAGCCGATTTACAGTTAATTAGAAAATTAAATAAACCTTGTGCCTCGACACCTTTTACAAAAATCAACGATTGTTTCATGTTATCCATTTCGGTTTCCTTTTCTAATGTCATTCTCGCCTATTATAGTTTCCAAGAATATTAGATTATTTAAAGCAGATAGGAAGTAAACTATTAAAAAGAAGTACCTGAGAACTCTGAATTCTGCGAATCTCAGAATTCTCGACTCCAAGACTTTGTAACCACTCATCTTGAGTTTCGTCATCATCATCAACACTTTGATCTTCAGAATGATTTGTTTCTGTGGCATTGTTTGTTGTAGACGCATCAAATGTGTCGCAACCAGAATCAGTTACATCTGACCGTCTTTTAAACTCTTTTCTCAGAGGCATTGTATATTCTATTTCTGTGAAAGTTGTTACTATTTCATACTTGTCCTTAATTGTGTGCATCCATATTTAAATATCATTATACCTTCTTGTTTTAATGATTGTCGGAAACCACGTGTAGTGGGTGTCAAGAGTGCATGAGCTTCAGATATTCCACAAATTCCAGCAGCACGAAATAATACAGTGAAATTATTCGCACACACATAAAAGTATGGGCATTGACCTGCTCGTAGCAAATGGAAAAGGGACCTAAAGCTTTCACTCCAGTCTTTGTATAAAGCATCTTTGATAAACATGTTATTCACAAGAGACAAATTACTTGTTAAATTAGCACTCACTTTGCCAGCAGAGCGAGGAAACAGTTCTAACCATGGTAGTAAAGGATGCTGCCATATAAGGCAACACTTATGAAGCCTATTTAAAGCAAATACCGGTAACAATTATTTGAACAAGCAAATTTATCAAATTAAAATAGAGAAATATTTTCAGATATCACCTTGCATTTGGACTAGTGTCTAATGTTGAATCTGTTCCACTAATATCTAAACATCTTACGAATCCAGTTGTACCGGATGCTTCTTCGCTAGTTTTTAATTTGGTGTTCCATGGAAATGATATTGGCGACATAAATCTCATCTTCGTCTTCAGTGTCCAATCTATTGGAACATATTTTTCACCTTTTGATGTTTCTACATCTGGAATAGGTTTATTCCCTTCTATTTTTGAAAGTATATTAGAAAATGTGAACGGATCTTCAGTTAGTGAGTTTTCGAGTGGTTTCTTTGGATTTTCAAGTTTCAAAAGCTCAAATAGTGTATTATCATTACTAGCTTCCAACTCAGGAGTTGCGTTTGATTTTTTATTTGCTTCATCTTTTGCATATTTTGCAAAAGGATTTTTTCGTTTTTGACCTACACTGTGACTAGCATCAACATTGCACGCTTTTACTATATTTGTAGATTCCAATTCTACATTTTGTCTGTTAACTCGCGTATTGTTCATACGTGCTTGAAGCGCACGTTTTTTCATTTTTAATCGATGTAACTGCATTACTTGGTCGGGTCTCTTCCATTCTGATGTTTGCACTTTTTCTGGCTCCTCCATTGACGAGTTTTGACATGCTGTCATACAGAAAACAAAGATTAACATTTGATTAATAATGGAAAAGAATTACGATAATCTTATTTTCATTGAAATGTAGTCCATTTATCTCTTTAAATATTTGTTTATATCGATATTATAGGTTAGAATTCCAAAATCATAAGAGTACCATCAATACGACTTTTTCAACACTTTTTAACAGAACTTAACAAAAACTATTTGTATGATGATACACACCGTTTTCTAAAATAGTGTTTCTTATCTCATAAGATTGTCAATTTAGTAAACTATCTAGAACTCGTCAACGAAAATTGAACTCCAGTGTTCCAGATCACCAAGCTCACTGTGATGTGTGTGTGTTCTGTTCTTCTTAGTATGTGTAAAGTTCACCCGCGAAGCACATATGTTGCACATATGCGAATGTTTCTTAATTCACTTTAAAAATTCGAGAATATTTAACTAATATGAGTTGTCGTTTATACATCGAAATAATTAATCTAATATAACATATTTACAGCAAAATGTTTGCAGTTTTCTACAATCTGTTTCTGCTAATAATTCAAATAATTAACTCCATTTCTGCATCCCTATTGTAATTATTAATGTAATATTTCAACACTGCCAAATTATCGACTGTAATGAAGTAGTTGCAATTTATTATGATTTAAGTGTTGATCGCATGTGATAAAACTGAACAGTTTATATGTAGTTTACAGTATTATAGTTATACCAGATTCTACTGCAATTTTAAAAATCGAAATAAACTCTCTAAAACAACTGTTCCATAATAATTATATTTCAATTTCTTTTTGAATAAGGTTCCTTGTTTTCCCTTTTCATTTTGATGTTGCTATTAATAAGAAATTCTGTGGTTATTTTGATAACAATTATATTGTTTCGTTAAATGAAAGATTCTATCACTGACGAGGTACATATAAGAGTAGACTAGATATCTAATGCATTATTACACAGACTTAGGATCCGTGCAGGCATTGCATCTTATAAACTTGTGCCTCAGCTTTGGGGGGCTCTAGAGCTTCCTTACCATTTTCGTGTTCCGCTCAACATTATCGATAGTTCACGAATTTAGGCATGCAGCACTAAGCCACGGCCTTAGGATCCGTGTCGGTGTAAATTTAGCCATCGCAGACACACAGTTTTCTATGTTGCAGTCGGATGTAGTTCACTAGTTGACCGTTACATTTAGGTAGAGTCCACTATTACCCACCGCTATTACTACCACAATATTTTCTACTGAGTTGGTAATTCAGACCCTGAGACAAAAAAAGCATTGCATGCAATATCTGTCCGGATGTTAAGTCTGGACTTCCAAAGCTGAGACAGAAAAGCCCATAAGACGGATCCTAAGTTTGTGAAAGCAGCAATTATCATATGGAGTTCGCAACGTTATCGGCACAGTTCACGAATTAAAATTAGTAATAACTGCAGTATATTGTATACTGCATTTCGACTACGCTCTAATAAACTTCAGTTGCAATAAATATCTTGGACATTTTTTAACTTTATGGAGGAAGTTTTTAGATCCGTTTAGGACCGTAGAAAAATACAAAATCATATCAAATAATTGATAAATGCCAGCCATCAGCTCAAGGAAAAATGTTTTGATTTTAACGGGTTACTTCTAGCAGTCTGTGATATAAGCATAGATAAAGTATATGGAAAATATATTCTGAGTTTTCTGTTCAAAGCTTTACTGTCTTTCTAACTTGATATTTTGCGACCGATAACAGCGTTCACTTCTTACGAACAATGATTAGCGAAGAAACTATCAAACATTAATTTACATTATTTGAAATATTTAAATTCATCAAAGTTAGTTTAGAAATAAAAGGAAACAAGAATTGTATACGTGTTTATCAACTATATACAATTTATATTGATATAATTTGAACGAAAGTAGAACATCAGTTTAGTTTGTATAAAATACGAATTAGTTACATGCAAAATAAGTATTGCTTATATTTTTATTGTACTTACTATTTTTCTAGCTGCTCAGGTTCTGGTGATTAATTTGAATTAAAGATTGTGCAATTGATTGCAATAAAAAGATTAACGAACCTGGATAAAGTAGAGAAATAGAAATTTCATAGAAAATTAATCCTTTCTCTAATAATTTCAGTTAACTGAAAATCGTGTATTACCGTTAAAAATTGTTCCTACTCATTTTTATTGTAAATGCATACAATTTACAATATACTAATAATAATAAAACGATTTATTGCGTTTCAGGGGAACAGCGCGTTGTCAACTTTCTCCCGAAAGCGTTTCAGTTCCAAGTTTATTTTTCATCCTTCGCATCGTGTTCTGCCAGAAGTTTCCTCGATCCGACATCCTTGCTAAATCGAGATCATGTTTTACAGAGGATATCGGATTGCCTGTATATTAAGGTACAAAAAACAATGGAGGAGGAAAATAGGGGGTCGTGTGTAAATGATTAGCGGTCGTTTGTGTACAACGTCTGATCTCATAGTTTTATTTCGAAACATCGAGTTCCCTGACGTCTAACGTCTGTAATGCGGATACCAATGACAAAATGATCGTAACTTATGAATATTATTGACGACTTGTTAAGCATCGTTAGGAAGGGCCAAGCTGCTTGCACGCTTCTTGTCGTTTCGTCATGCGGCGCGTCATCGCCAATGACCCGGCGATCCGTCATCGATGATCCAACGAAACGGATTGCGAATCTAAACGGACGCATACATCGACAAACATTTATTGTTCTAAAAATTGTTTCTTTAACACTCGGCTGTAGGAAAGGGCAGTTAGGAAGGGCAGTAGAGAACGCGAGCCTCCGAATTCATTTATTTGTTTCGTTTTGTTCTTCTTCCGATTTTCTTTCGCATTAGTTCGCTGCTTTCGGTTTTTTCCTCTTCATTCACCCGTACATTCGACGCATCGCCTGTGCTCCCACCCTCCTCTCTTTTTAGACAGAAAACGCTGTTTCGCTTTTCTTGCGCACGCATTTCGTTTTATAATTTTTTGCACACACACACACACGCACACACACACGCATACACTCTGACATCCCTCGACACATGATTCGACATACACGTACATGCACAAGCATTCTTGCTTCTTTTTTTTTTCTTGTCCTTTGGCACAAAGTTACCCGGCACTCTGTTTGACAGTGACCAGCAACGGATGCCTTCTTCACCGCAGCCAGAGCAGCACCGGTATAAAGAGAAATATAGACAGGCTGTGTGATAATTTGTTGCTATGGCCGAAGAACCTTCTGCTGTGGCTGCCGGCGCCTGAACTCTGCGCAGCTTCCGCTAAACCTAAACCAAACATTTCATTCAGTATTTTTGGCTCTCGTTGGGAACACAATCCTTTTACTCGTATCGACAAAAGTTATTCGAAACCAGTGACCGTTCAGAAATCGTACAACACACGTTCGATGCTTTTATTTTGAACACGAAAACCACCGACTCCTATACGTAACTGACGGATATCACTTTATAAAGATGACAGGATAGAATTTGTTTAGACACTTCACAATTTTGATTAGAATGTGTTCTTGCGTTAAGAAATTGATTCAATCGTTTCCAAAACATAAATCCGTACAATATTAACAATTTTGAAATAAAACAATGCGAAACCGGTCATTTTGATTGTTTTAGCAGGCTTAGTATTGGACGAATTATTCTTGATCATCAAGAAGGATGATGTTTTCTTTTTGTTAATTTTTGTAATGTTACTATAAGTATATTCCAAAAAATTCTGCATTTCATTCGCGTCCGTCGACGATACGAAACTGTGCGAAAATTGAATTTCATAACTTTCGTCGACGAACGTGTTCGTCAACATTGCGTTTCATGGAAGAACAACTTACCATCGAGAATTGATACATGATCTTTCCCGCGTGACGATCTGTCGAAGCCAAATTTGATTTCTGCGAACAGATGAAAATTGTAAGAAAAAAAATCAAAGAAAATTTCTTCCCTAAAACAAAGATTATACGAGACTGTGTTAACTGATTTAAATCGCGGATATACAAAGTGTGTTTGATTTATTTGACTTGAAATTCCAATATATTCTTTTAAGGCTCTAATGTAAACGCACCAATGATTATGGGAGGAAAATTACATGCAAACGCTTTCACATTTACATACGAATTTCCGATTTATTCGTAAAGGTAAATGCACGATCGAGCAAACATTTATAATTAGATTGCGGATTTTATGCGTTTATGAGAAACTCAGGTTGGTATAATTTGAAACTGCACCGTGATTAAAAGAATTTACAAATATTTATGTACTGTTACAACACTCGCTACAATTATTAAGCAAAAGACGATATTTTTATCCTGTTCTAGTTTTGTTGCAATTTATCAAGAAAATTTGTATCCTGTTCTAGTTCGTTGCAATTTACGAAGATATAATTTTGATTCCGTTCTATTTCGTTGCAATTTCTGAAGAAAATTTTTATTCTGTTCTAGTTCACTGCAATTTGTACAGACAATTTTTATTTCGCATAAAGATCCGCTGTTTATTCATAATATTTACAAGCTACTGTGAAATTATTTTAAAAATAATATATCACAGCAGGAAAAGGAATCGCGTTCGATCGCGAGTGCACGTTTAAAATCTCATTTGCTCTGGACTGATGTAAACCGAAGAGAAGCGTTCGTAGCATAAATCTGGAAGTTGATTAGAGAATTACGTAAATTCCAGGAAGTGTTTCGACGATTGGTCCTGCCGAACGATTAGACAACGAAAGGGACAGGTTAACGGCAAAAAGCAACCGAACGTTGCGTTATCGTTGAAGTTGGTAAACAGCGGACACCGGCGAAGGTAAACTCGGCAGCGTTTTACGTCTCGGAGGAACTTACTGTACAGCCTTAAATTGCCGTCGGCCTTGCCAAGACTGTTCGTCGACACGCATCTGTAGCTGCCCACGTCCTTCTCCGTTAACCCTTTGATTAAGAGCGTCATCAAAACCGTGTATCCGGATCGTTCTTCTCGCACGCTGTACTTGTACCTGCGGCGTCGAACGGGGCCATAAGTTTCTCGGCCCGGAGACATACGAACGTTCAAAACGATACGGGGGAAACTAATAATCTCACCCCTCGATCAGCATTTCGTCCCCCGTTCCTTGCCGGTTCTTCACCCAGTAATTTATTGTTTTTGGAAATGCCTCGACGTAGCACTGCAGCTGCACGTTCGTGTTCAAAGGTGTTCCCAAAAGCTGATTAGGTACTCTGACGACAGGTGCAACTGTGGAAGCGGTTTCAAATTAATTGCCCGATTTATCGCGATACACACGGTTCACCAAGATTTTGATTAATGTCCACGGCCTGGCTGAATATAGACATCCATAATTTGTCCGGATTACATGTCTCTATTACACGGTTTTCTGAGCGGGAGGTGTGCGTGATTTAATGTCGCAATTAGAGCCGCGCGGCCGGACGTTAAAAATTCCATAAATTTTGATTAGACACAAGATCGCTCGCTTTCCTCTATTTCGTTCAGTATCCGCCGAGGCATACTGTACCAGCTGAAATTTAGGAAACATCGCGAGCTCTCTACGAAGAAGTAACGAACCGTACAGGCTGTTCAAAAATGTTCGCCGAGACTTTTCAAGGATTTATGGTACTCGCGCGAGGCGAGTAAAACGTGCCCGTGTGTCCGAAAGCCAATCCTTTCGACAGTTTCAGGGACGCAAGAGCCTCGCAACGTTGAGCTTTCAATTTACCGTGTACCTTTTTAATTATACAGGGTGGATCGCCTGAAACAGGCCCTCTGATTCAGTCGGTTAGAATCAGAGCGGCGCAAGCTATATTTTCGAAAATTTTAATTTACACCTTAAACTGTAATCTGTACAGGCCGAAATGTCAAAAAACGAGTGATATCAATTATAAAGTTACTATAAATTAATTCAACCGTAAATATCTTGACGATAAATATGGTCGGTCAACGTTACGCGTGTTAGTAAACGACGACACTCTTTACGTCTCACGATGAGGAAAACGTGACTCGCGCCACTATGGTTGTAACCCACTCACAACTGTCTTCCTGATTTCTTTATGTTTTTTTTTTTTTCAAAATTAGTCCAGGATTTTGTACACAATCTCGTCACGGCTAGAGAAGATAATTAGGCGGCCCGTTTCCGGCGAACCACCCTGTACACCCCGACAACAAAATGAACATTTCCGTGGAAACCGGGCGAGTGCTTTACTGCTCGAAGAAACTTCAATGCAGCTTCTTACGCTTATTATCTTTAAATATTCGTTTCCCGCAAATTCGTCGTTGCTAAGCGGAACAACATCAATAGGTCGTTCCGTCACTGTAACGAAGTGCGCTAAATAATTCGATTTGCTTCGTTAGTCCCTTGATTATTAAGGAAACGAAGTGCACAGTTCGTTTCATGGTCCAGGGGAATCTACGATTTCGGTTGTAGCGCGAACGCAGCGGCGCGTATTCGCGAAATTGACCTAAAACCGTCGTGTTTCATTCTAATTCGGTCGTTCCGTTTAGTCATCGATATTTTCTATTCCGTTAACGCGATCGGCGATCCCGTTAAACGACGACCGAAATTAAAACACCGCGATTACGGTATACTGCTGTTATCGCTATTTCTATAACAATACAAAACTACTACGGAGTGCACGCCGCATTATCGCAGCTGAATGCAATTAATTCTCGGTCGCGTCCGTTGTTTTCGAATAATTAATACTGATGGCGCGATGGTAGTTATGCACGGTGCGTATCCGCGTACATTATTTTGCACCTCAAATATATAGATTTCTACTGTACTCGGAAATTCGATCTAAACGGATCACCGATCTCGAAAGCGTAGTTTTGATATAACCCGTATTGTTCCCGATGTCGAGCAATTTATTCGTGAAATCTGATATTTCTGCTAAACAACACCGACGAAAAAATATCGCGCGATAACGAAGGTAATTCAGCAGCGATCTTAAACGCGGCTGACAATGAAACGATGATCACGATTGCTATGCCCTCGCAACGTTAGAATAGAAATGACCTGATGCGAACTGTTCTACATTAATGTCACATTCGCTGGTCACTTGAATAGAATCCTTATCTGGAACAAGCTTCAGATTAATAACGAATATTTAAATTAATAAGGAGAAGCAACATCGATCTTCGGTTTCCTATTAAAATCGATTTTATATTGGAGTAGAATAATGATAATAATAATAACGAGAGATAGCACTTGTGAAACACATGTTGCATAAAACAATGTTTCCAACGAGAGTTGTTCGATCCAATATCTTTTTTAATAATGTGCAACATTTAATCGGACCGTCCGATAGTACATTGAGTACAAAATAAAAAATTATTTATGAATTAATAATAAAATTAATTGTTTATTAAATATCAATTAAAGTTTAATAATTTGTTGTATTTCATAGACTTTCGAATGGCATGATTAAATGTTGCACATTGTATTGTTAAAAAACTCGAGTTGACACCCTCATATCTCAATGGAAAAGTAAAATAGAAAAAAAATCAATTATTCCTTATTATACCAAACAACTTGCATTCGAAACATTTCCTTATTACAACACGTAATCCACAAGAGAAATTGAGGTGAAAATGTTATATGGCTCATCCTGTATCATCCACCGTGTTAAATATGAAATCTGCAAATTCGTGTCAAATATTTGTGAAATCACCTCTCCGGCGACTTTGACAATGTTCGAAATAGATCTGGACGGATGAAATCTGGACGGAGTGGCTTCGAACCCTCAAATCTGAATTCTTCAATCTATATTTAAACGTATTCATTACTTCTGATTGCCCCGGTAACCTACAATTTCATAGAAATCGATGATCTCCCAGACGAGCTTTTTGTAAATAAATGTGGATTTCGAATCGGAGACGTTGCAAGCGTTTCTCGTGACACGAAAAATTCTAGATATAGATACAGTTGAGAGATCCTGCAAGAAAGAATTCATCTGTAATTGCTGTAGCCGGGATTATCGATTTGAGATTAATGTATGCAATTTTAGTAAATTCTCAACATGGATGCCGCGCAGTTTCCGGCTTAAATTTAAATACACCACGGGAAGATACAATATATCGGTTATTGACTTCGGGCTTCATAAGATATTAAACATTGCACGGCGATAGCTGAAATACTAAAAATATGCACATGCATATTACGATGTTATATAATGTTCGATACTACGCTCCGCGACAATAGGTACCGCAGGATACTATAGAAAATTATACGAGACTGTATTGCGGACAAAGATTCTCTCTTTCTTTGCACGCAGCGTTATTATTTATCGTTAGAGATGCCATTAATTGGCTAATCTGTCGTTTGCAGCTACGAAAGTTAATAAAAGCGGAAACAGCTATTTTCAGCCACGACAAAATAAGACAATGCTTTTCGGGGGAAACTTAATATATAAATTTTATATTTGCCAATGATAAGTTTCAACAGATATTTCCACACAGATTCAGGCTATTTGTAATTGTTTTCGATTTTTAATTTTCCTGTAATTTCGAATTACGAACTCACTGACGTTGAAATCACTTTTCTGTAGAGTATCTTTTGGAAATTGTTAATATAAAGAAAATAACAAAATGACACTTAGTTCTTTGTCATAAATGCAGCAATTGTTACTAACTGTTAAAGAGGGTGCTTTTATTATAGACGCAGTTGAGCATATATTTGAATTAAAAGTGCTTCGCTGTTGCGCATCATGGTGTTCACCTACTTTTGTTGCACACTGAATGTCGCAATTGTTTGTTAGCATATCACAGAATTTTTCGCATGGACTTCTTGTGCTTATCAAGTAGACTATGGATTTTATATAATACATTCGAATGAGCAGATCAAATGCGAAACATTCGACCATCGTAGACCACTGAAAACATTTGAAGAATTTCGAAATTCTTCTGTTCGATTTTCAACCGATGAAAATGCTTCTGAAAAGACAATAACCTCTATGTTGCCTCTATACCTTGTCAGCAATCATAAATCCATAATCTACGCTCATCCACCTCCGCGATCCTAAAATGATTACTTAAAACCGTGCTAAAGCATATCTCCGCGAAGAAGCCATAACATTTAACAAGCGAGAAGAGAAATGCCATCTTACAATGGCAGATTCGTATAATTTTATAACAGTATTTTGCGGTATCGTCGCGGTACACGCTTATTCTACAGTAGATTACGGCGGCTTTAAAAGTCCTGCTATCCTTCGAAATGTTTGTTATTAAAAAATGTTTAAGCGACTTCTAATTTCCCCGGCGAAGTAATCCGAGCGGGTACTTTATTTCTCCTGGCGGCAGTACGCGCTTTCAAAAGATTTCGTTGGACTTTTCGTAAGTTTCATTAATCCCTGCAGCTTCGGCCACGCGCGAAGCTTACACGCTAGAAAGGAGGAACTGTAAATATGGCGGTGTATTCCGGCAAAAAGGCAGCCACCGTCGAAGTTTAATATCCCGACAGAAGGGACACCCCGACCGTCTCGTCGCCGCGAATAATTGTAAAACTGTAATTTTTACTGATCATATTTGCCCGGCGGAATTATCTCGCGAGGCATTATTAAAATTCACGGCGGGTACGCGCACAGGCCGCGACGTCGCCCGCTTTCATTGTTTACGGAGAAACAAAAGCGTTTCTATCCCGGATATAAACGTTATTGCGTCGCGCAATAAATTCGCGAACAGCCCCCGCGCGCTTTTCTCTATATCCCCGGGTTTAATTCGCTTTGATTACAGCTGATAAGCAATCTGGAATCTCTTTCGTAGCATTGTCGGTAAACCGAGGAAACGGATCGGGCTTCGGTGGCCGGCTGTTACCCGAATGAAATCGTTGGATCTGATAACACGGCCATTATCAATGCTTACATCGGGTTACAACCGTGGAAAGAATCAACCGTGGCGAGGCACCACAGACCGGGTCAACGTTTATGTCTTATACATAGAAATACCGCAGCTACGCTGCGAGATATGAAGCCTTAAAAAAAGCTCAGAGTTCGGACAGTAATTTCGGTCAGCTCTCGCGCTGCTTTTATTCCCGTAACCACTGTTCCTCGACGTTACGATTTACGATACGTACTCGCGTTTCGGGGCGAGGACAGTTCGAAATTTTGAAAATTTGTCACTTTTCTGTTTTAAATGGTACGCTGGAACCTTGGTTATTCGAAGTACTTCTTGGTTATTCGAATTGTGCAAAGAAAAGTTTAAAAATAAAAGGTTTTAAGGCAAACTACGGTAGTGGAAATATAATTATAAATATATAATTTACTGTTATAATAGTATACTAGTATAATATTATACTATATTATACTATGTTATACTATATATATAATATATAGTATAGAATATAGTATAATATATTATATTATACTATATTATACTATATATATAGTATATTATACTATATATATATATATAGTATAATATACTATATATATGATATACAATATATATTATACATATAATAACCTAGTGTCAAAAAACTCTAATACGTTTTCTCACAATGGATTTTCGTTTTCGAGATATCTCGATCTAAAATTTTGTAAAAAAAAGAATTAAATAAATAATAAAATGATAGCTTAGATAGCTTCAGTCAACCACAATGCACTAAGAGTGTGTGCGAATCAAGAAAATTATTTTAGCACAACAATGTTTACACATAAATGCGAAACCTTTTCGTTCTCGTTACCAGTAAACGCACGACGCGACGTTGAGGCTGTCGCAGATAATTCAAAGTCAAAATTTCCGTGCCAAGCTAGCCTGCATAGTGGACAAAGTACGTTAGAGGTAGCAAAGGCTCAATGCATTTCCTCAGAAATTGGATGCTCAAGAGCTTTTAAACGTAAATACCGGCGGCACGTGTAAGGTCCCCGCGATTACCGGATCCAAAATTCACTCGATTTTATTCGGCCGGGTGTAGTGAAAGAGTTTGTGTATAGATCGGACCAACGTACAAGAAGGCCGGAAGAACTGAAAACCCGCATTACCGAAGCTTTTCATCGTTTACGAAATATGCCGGGCCTCCGCAGGCGGACTCGCGGCAATATGGAAGCCAGAGTACAGGGGGTGCTTACGAAATAATGGTGGTCATAGTGAACCGGGAATGCAATCTCAAGATAGCTCTATTCTTCGATTTAAATCGGTAAATAGACGGCTGAAGTTCGCGTGCGTTGAAAAGGCTAATCGATTACGAAGCATTTACGTTTCGTGCATTGTGTTCGAGCATGAATTGTGCAGCTGTTACAAGGTCCGTGTAATTAGCGTTAACAAATGGTCGCTTTGAGACGCAATCTTGCTTTTATTCCTTCGCGGTCCGTAATGTTTTCTATTTCCGAATTTTTCTATAACATTATGTAATTTATATTCAGATAATTTATATTACCTTGTAACATGCCGCGAAAAAAAACGAATGCCAATTTCGTTGAATGGCATTTTTCAATATAAGTAAAATTGCATAAGTATCGTAAAATTGCATAAGTATGTTATTGCATAAGTATGCCCTCGGAATCGAAAATGAATCTTCTAGTTACATCAAAAATCAATTTCTAAAGTTTCCGATAACTCTGCTGAATTTAATTACCGAAACCAAAACCGAAAAGTTAAAGTGCACCGTAGTAAGCGACCAAAAGTCTTCTCGCACGCTAAAAGTAGCCGAAAACCAGTTTTCGATAGAAATGAATTGAAAAGCTAATTGAAAATGATTTTAAACAGCGTTTAAATTTTCAAGCGTTTTCTCAAGCGTTTCGTAGATTGTCTTCATTTTCGAGGTCACAAAAATNTATGATATACAATATATATTATACATATAATAACCTAGTGTCAAAAAACTCTAATACGTTTTCTCACAATGGATTTTCGTTTTCGAGATATCTCGATCTAAAATTTTGTAAAAAAAAGAATTAAATAAATAATAAAATGATAGCTTAGATAGCTTCAGTCAACCACAATGCACTAAGAGTGTGTGCGAATCAAGAAAATTATTTTAGCACAACAATGTTTACACATAAATGCGAAACCTTTTCGTTCTCGTTACCAGTAAACGCACGACGCGACGTTGAGGCTGTCGCAGATAATTCAAAGTCAAAATTTCCGTGCCAAGCTAGCCTGCATAGTGGACAAAGTACGTTAGAGGTAGCAAAGGCTCAATGCATTTCCTCAGAAATTGGATGCTCAAGAGCTTTTAAACGTAAATACCGGCGGCACGTGTAAGGTCCCCGCGATTACCGGATCCAAAATTCACTCGATTTTATTCGGCCGGGTGTAGTGAAAGAGTTTGTGTATAGATCGGACCAACGTACAAGAAGGCCGGAAGAACTGAAAACCCGCATTACCGAAGCTTTTCATCGTTTACGAAATATGCCGGGCCTCCGCAGGCGGACTCGCGGCAATATGGAAGCCAGAGTACAGGGGGTGCTTACGAAATAATGGTGGTCATAGTGAACCGGGAATGCAATCTCAAGATAGCTCTATTCTTCGATTTAAATCGGTAAATAGACGGCTGAAGTTCGCGTGCGTTGAAAAGGCTAATCGATTACGAAGCATTTACGTTTCGTGCATTGTGTTCGAGCATGAATTGTGCAGCTGTTACAAGGTCCGTGTAATTAGCGTTAACAAATGGTCGCTTTGAGACGCAATCTTGCTTTTATTCCTTCGCGGTCCGTAATGTTTTCTATTTCCGAATTTTTCTATAACATTATGTAATTTATATTCAGATAATTTATATTACCTTGTAACATGCCGCGAAAAAAAACGAATGCCAATTTCGTTGAATGGCATTTTTCAATATAAGTAAAATTGCATAAGTATCGTAAAATTGCATAAGTATGTTATTGCATAAGTATGCCCTCGGAATCGAAAATGAATCTTCTAGTTACATCAAAAATCAATTTCTAAAGTTTCCGATAACTCTGCTGAATTTAATTACCGAAACCAAAACCGAAAAGTTAAAGTGCACCGTAGTAAGCGACCAAAAGTCTTCTCGCACGCTAAAAGTAGCCGAAAACCAGTTTTCGATAGAAATGAATTGAAAAGCTAATTGAAAATGATTTTAAACAGCGTTTAAATTTTCAAGCGTTTTCTCAAGCGTTTCGTAGATTGTCTTCATTTTCGAGGTCACAAAAATGTTCGTACCACATCCCCGCTATTTTTTGCCCCACTTATCAACATTTCCGCTCCGACGTAAATAGAAAAGATCATATTATCTCGTTTCTATCGAAAGTTCTTTGATTTTGACACAAGTTCGCCGCTTCGCCCGACGGTGCGCCGCAACCGGTTTGCCCGGGGGTTCCTTCGGCCGGAATCGCTTTAATTCACGGTAATAGAGGATCCTTAGCGGTTTACCGGAGACGAGGGAGATCGTAAAGCTCCGGGAAGTCAGGCGCGGTCGCGCCAATGGCCGGAGTGATTCGTCACTGCGGGGAGGGAGCGTGTCGTTACGTCAGCGACGAGACGGGAGTGTAGGTAGCGAGCGTCGCATTTTGTCGTCGGTCGGAGCCTTTCTGCCGGATACAATCAGGGATTAGGAGGGAAACGTGCTTACAATTCACGGCGAGTGTCACTCGCTTGCTAACGGCGGGCGGCACGTCGTTGCTGGCGATGCAGAGATACGCCCCCATTTGTCGCCTCTCGACACGATAGAATTGCAGCTTGGAGCCGTTGTACGTCTCGTGCTCCTCCAAATTGTTGCCACCTGCGCACCAAGAAAACGTTTTCCATCTGCATATTTTCCTGAAAATTGACCACCGCCTAACCGAGACCTAACCATCCCCTCGGTCGCGCCACGATCTCGCGCGACCCCTTGTTCGAGGTCTCTTCGCTTTGCCACGTCGGACCGGGACTGGCCGAGTCGTGCCGACGGCTCCCAGCCCCGTGTTCTGTGTCTACGATTTTACCGAAGGCAGAGAGACAGGTTGTGGTGGTCGTAACCGAAAGCGATTTACACGAATTTCTCCCTAATTCGCGCACAGATTGCGCACAAAAATGGACGATTTGGGGAAAGGAGATTACGATTGTTCGAGCTCGTTGCGGCTCGTTTTTACTCCGCGGCTCGTTCGACAACTGTAAAAACGAGACGCGGGACTTGTCCATTTTTGTAAGCAATCTGCGCGCGAATTAGGGAGAGATTTTTGTAGTTGAAAGATTAAGAGAACGGAGAAATTTCAATGTTTTATATTTAATCTATTCGGGTTATCGGAGAATGAAAGAACTTGCTGTTTAATTTATGTTATTTTATGGTATATTGTATAATGTTTTATAATGTTACTATAAAGTAATATAAATTAAATAGCAAGTTCCTTCATTCTACTTGCTGTTTAATTTATGTTATTTTATGGTATACTGTATAATATTTTATAATATTATTATGAAGTAATATAAATTAAATAGCAAGTTCTTTCATTCTACTTGCTGTTTAATTTATGTTATTTTATGGTATACTGTATAATATTTTATAATATTATTATGAAGTAATATAAATTAAATAGCAAGTTCTTTCATTCTACTTGCTGTTTAATTTATCTTATTTTATGGTATATTGTATATTTTATAATATTACTATAAAGTAATATAAATTAAATAGCAAGTTTCTTCATTCTACTTGCTGTTTAATTTATGTTATTTTATGGTATACTGTATAATATTTTATAATATTATTATGAAGTAATATAANTAAATAGCAAGAGTTCTTTCATTCCTCGATAACCTTTTAGTAGATTGATTATAATACATTAAAAATTCTCCGTTATAATATATATTATAATAATTATAAATAACCTTGTGTTTCGTTTTTATAATTGTTGATAACCGATAACTATAAAAACGAGAAGCAAGGCTCCAATCATCGTATCTCCTCTTCCCAAACTGTCCGTTTTTGTGCGCAATCTGAGCGCGAATTAGGAAGAAATTACTGTATTTAGGAATTTCTTGAAGTTCTGCTATTAGTTACGCTAATATAAGCGTCATCTACGTGTCTTGTTAAAATTTCAACGAATTTCGTCGTCTTAAATCCGAGATGATCGCCTCCAAAGTTTCAATCTTCGACAATCCCTGTACCGAAGCTTCGCCGAAGCTTCGTGACGTCATTGGCTGTATCTCCGAGAAATAATCTTGGAATTCTCTATGAAAACAGCAAAGCAATCTACGAAAACGCATCGACGCACCAAAAAGTGCACTCGATCGGTGATCGAATTAAAGCAATGTATAGTGAGCAATATCATTGAATTTGCGCGAGGATGGAGACTGATGGAAACCTTGAGTGGCGAAAGGTTATGGACACTTGGCAACGTTGCATATATCACGTATACCCTGGGCTCGCAGGCCGTAAAAACCTCCAGAACTTCTGAAGGCAATAATTCTGGCAACTCATAGGTTCGCAGTGTGAGTGTGTGACTGAGTTGCAGCCATTTCGCGAAGTTCAGCGAGTCGAATGAGAAATTGCATTGTTAAAATTGAGGACTTATCCTTGTTAATCTGTTAAGCATTCTGCGTTAATTATATCATTTCATTAAACTGATTATATGCTACAATATATTTGTGTCGTTGTATAAAATAAAACTTGTGAAACAACAACTCCTCCATTTTTCTAATGCAATGGAGGTGGACTGGGGAATCAGAGGGAGAAACGCGAAGCGGCATACGCCACTTTTAATCCTTTTCTCCCACTTCTGCGGGTTCTTGCAGCCTGCGAGCCCTGATCAGCACCCTACTAGTCCCAAATGCAACGTTGCCATATTCTCGCGTTCGTTCGTTTTTGTTAGTATCCGTTTGCGTACGAACAGATGATAGTACATGTACTCCACATCTTATAACTATAATACCACTAACAAATTTTCAGTTTTTATACATTGGAGTTAATATAGGGTTTTCCAAAATTACAGTACTTCCGGAAAATGGGGGGTTCCTGAGATCATTTGAAGTAACTTTTTCCTTAGCGAAAATGTAAATCGCGACTTCGTTTACGAGTTATTAACGAAAAACAGTGACCAATAGGAAGCGAGCTCAGCTGGCGCAAGGCGGAGCCAACGAGCGGACGACGCCCAGTTCCGCTCATTGGTTCGGCCACGCCCGCGCCAACTGATCTCGCCTCTTATTGGTCTCACATTTTCGTTAATAACTCGTAAACAAAGCGGCGGATCGCATTTTCGCTAAGGAAAAAGTTATTGCAAATAACCTCAGCAACCCAGAATTTCATTTCCCAGAAATACCATAATTTTCGAACAATGAATGAAGTATGCTATATTTGAGATTGTACCGAGAAACGCCGACAAACCAAGCACACAGCAACTGGTCATTCAACAGTAACCGGCTCTACTACCTTAATCTATCCTCAATGCTTTCTTAATCCGAATTAGCATATTTCGAGCATGGCATACTTCGTTCATTATTATACAAACTTCCATCTATAAAAGCCGAAGATATTTTGGCGGTTTTATAGTTATCGGACGCAGTGCACGTGTGTAGAGGGTGGGCTCAATGTGTACAGGCGTATCTAAAATCTTCTCAATCCTATCTTAATCCGAATTGGCATACTTCGTTCATTATTATACCAACTTCTATCTATAAAAGCCGAAGATATTTTGGCGGTTTTATAGTTATCGGACGCAGTGCACGTGTGTAGAGGGTGGGCTCAATGTGTACAGGCGTATCTAAAATCTTCTCAATCCTATCTTAATCCGAATTGGCATACTTCGTTCATTATTATACCAACTTCTATCTATAAAAGCCGAAGATATTTTGGCGGTTTTATAGTTATCGGACGCAGTGCACGTGTGTAGAGGGTGGGCTCAATGTGTACAGGCGTATCTAAAATCTTCTCAATCCTATCTTAATCCGAATTGGCATACTTCGTTCATTATTATACCAACTTCTATCTATAAAAGCCGAAGATATTTTGGCGGTTTTATAGTTATCGGACGCAGTGCACGTGTGTAGAGGGTGGGCTCAATGTGTACAGGCGTATCTAAAATCTTCTCAATCCTATCTTAATCCGAATTGGCATACTTCGTTCATTATTATACCAACTTCTATCTATAAAAGCCGAAGATATTTTGGCGGTTTTATAGTTATCGGACGCAGTGCACGTGTGTAGAGGGTGGGCTCAATGTGTACAGGCGTATCTAAAATCTTCTCAATCCTATCTTAATCCGAATTGGCATACTTCGTTCATCATTATACCAACTTCCATTTATAAAAGCCGAAGATATTTTGGCGGTTTTATAGTTATCGGACGCAGTGCACGTGTGTAGAGGGTGGGCCCAACGTGTACAGGCGTATCTAAAATCTTCGTTATCCGCTAAACAACCTCTCATACGTTTATGAAAGGACTCGCGAACCCGTATGCGATAAACTTTCTGCTGCGAACGTACCGAAACAACTACTCGTACCTTAACGCGGCACAGAATCGGCCCGTTTCTCTATCTCCGGCGTGTAGGTACATATGTACTGTCTTCGACGGGAAAGGTTCACAGTGGGTTTGCGGATGCTGCGAGGGATAAATGGAGGACTGCCGAGCCCGGGTTATCGATGCCCGGATTTGTTTGACGCTATCGGCGCGTTTATACGTCAAAACGGTGCCTCCGCGAGAGCCTGTTCTCTTGCACTCTTTAGCATACGGTGTAACTCATTCTACGGGAGTGCACGCTTGACGCTGCTTTATGGAAATCGGCTTGAATAAATCGGTTTCGCGGGCACCTTCCCGCGAGGAGAGTGGAACGGTTTCTCTGATTTGTTTTACGAGCGCGGTTCGAGTGATTTTTCTTTTTTTGTTATTTTTGTTTTCGGGTTGCTTGGTGTTTTCGTTTTCAGCCGGAGTGAAATTAATCGTTTCATGTCCGGGGATTGGAAAGGCTGGGAATTCGTCGCGGGGGAACCGAATTATTTATCGACGTCTGGAACGATGATCGGGATTCTAATTTTCGGTTTATACTTGGATCTAGTTTGACGAAAAGCTTCGGGCGTCCGTCTAGATTGTATTTCTAGATTCCGAGTTTAATTGTAGGTCTTCGTTGACGCGACGTTGCGAACGTCCATCTAGATTCGAATTTCATGTCTGTTCTGATGGAACGTTGTTAACGATGCAACGTTGCGAACGTCCGATTAGATCCCAATTTCTGGCATACAGTTTATGCTGTTAGTCATTAAATTATTTGTTCGCACAGCTTTGGGAATTAGATGCATCACATAGTCCATGTGAAGATAATCAACCCCAAAGGGTGAAGCCTTCTTCGCTTCTCATTTTTTTTATTTCATTTGTTCTTCGACGTTTGGTCGTCGCAATGGCAAAAATTAGTTTCGTGGTAAGATTGTTAACGAAGTTTGTAAATTTCTTCTTGAAAAATGATAAAACAAAAATTGAAAGAAGGTGTAGCAAGAAAAGGATTTTCTCCTTGATTTTTTCTTGAACTATTAACGATCTCACAGTCTTTTTGAACTATTGTTGAAGAACATAAGTGTAGATCCAGAGTCTGTGGAAAATGAAACGAGGGACGATGAGGTCGGTAAAATGAAAGTTATTCCAGTTTATTATAAATATTATAATGTTCAGGTATTGTTTTCTGGAACGTGAACTAACGCGAAGCTGCGCGCAAATGAATGGAGTACACTCTCGAACGTGAAAGTTAATTTACTTTTCACGCGTCGAATATTCTGTTCCGTTATCATCGATACTTTTCAAATTCAAGTACTCGTTTGATC